ACATTTGGGCCTAGATATGAGAGAATACATCTATGTGGTATGTGTGCACCACATAAAACAGATCCTGCAGCACACTGTGCATAATGAGAGAAAAAAAACGAAATCATGATTTTTCGATTAAAACAGCAACTTTGCATTGTTTTTTCGTATGTTTTTTATAGTTGTATTTGCGATTTCTTGGTCTCATTTGATAGAATGGAATACATATTACAGAAATAGAGATGATTTTGATTGGTTTTAGCATTGGAAATGGCTTGAAACTGAGCTCAAAGTAGCGGAAATGTTAAATTTTTGCCGATATTCAAGAGTAAACAAACGACCTCACACGTCTAATACACATCAGCTGGTGGGTCTAATATACATTCACAAATATGGTGATGATATTTATACAATTATTACAGTATTGCATAACAGTAAATCTTCTATTTTTTGGTGTGAATAAAAATTCATTATGTGAATAAAAAATCAAAATGGAATTTATTTGTAAAGCCTCAAAACATAACTAATGAACAGAGGAAATGTTAGTTTAGTGCCAGGAATGCCTACATTGTTCATTCTGGACCCTATTTTGAAATTGGAATATTTTGAACTTTGTGTTAAATTGGCCAAATTAACAATTTCCGATCACTTTATTTTGTAGTTGAAACAGTTGACTTGGTGATTTCTTGTGCTCAATCGATAGAATAGAAGTAATACTAGTGAAATAGCTAAGAATTTGGTTGATTGGAATAATGTAATTGGCCTAAAATGGGAGTCAAAGTCGGCAAAATCGCCGATTCGTAAATATCGCTGACACATCAAAATTCGCGAGAGCATAATTTCGTCAATTTTCCACCAATTTTCGTACTTTTTGTTTTATTACCTTCACAAAAAGATTCTCTACGATTTCATAAGAAAAAATAACAAATTTTTTTTTTGAAATATCTTGGACACTGGTGCGTGACTCCAGATTTGGGCCTTGGACCCTGAAAGGGTTAATGAAGCTCATGTCCCCATAAAGTCGCTCTGCCACGTCTGTAGGATGACCAGGGGCATTGTCTAACACCAGGAGGCACTTAAGTTCTAATTTCTTTTCAGTTAGGTAATCTTTCACATTGGGGGCAAATGCATGGTGTAACCAGTTATAGAAAAAGTCCCTAGTGACCCATGCCTTACTGTTTGATCTCCACAGCACACACAAATTATCCTTGAGGACATTCTTTTGCCTGAACGCTCTGGGAGTTTCAGAGTGATACACTAATAAAGGCTTAACTTTGCAATCACCACTAGCATTGGCACACATCAACAAAGTAAGCCTGTCTTTCATAGGCTTATGTCCTGGGAGTGCCTTTTCCTCCTGAGTAATGTAGGTCCTGCTTGGCATTTTCTTCCAGAACAGGCCTGTTTCATCACAATTAAACACTTGTTCAGGTTTCAGTCCTTCAGTTTCTATGTACTCCTTGAATTCCTGCACATATTTTTCAGCCGCTTTGTGGTCCGAACTGGCAGCCTCACCATGCCGTATCACACTATGTATGCCACTACGCTTCTTAAATCTCTCAAACCAACGTTTGCTGGCCTTAAATTCACTCACATCATCACTAGTTGCAGGCCTTTTTTTAATTAAATCCTCATGCAACTTCCTAGCCTTTTCACATATGATCGCTTGAGAGACGCTATCTCCTGCTAGCTGTTTTTCATTTATCCACACCAATAAGAGTCTCTCAACATCTTCCATCACTTGCGATCTTTGTTTCGAAAACACAGTTAAACCTTTGGCAAGAACAGCTTCCTTGATTGCCTTTCTGTTGCCCACAATAGTAGAGATGGTTGATTTGGGTTTCTTGTACAACCTGACCAGGTCGGTGATACGCACTCCACTTTCATACTTATCAATGATCTCTTTCTTCATTTCTATAGGAATTCTAACCCTTATTGCTGTAGGGTTGGAACTAGAAGCTTTCTTGGGGCCCATGGTCACTTATTTTCCAGAAACAGCACCGAAAACACTGTAATAATACGAAATATTCCGATTGTATGCTTGAATGTTACTGCGGAGGCTGGCTGGTAAACAATGCCACCGGCGGAACATATGAGGCTGGCTCAGGCCGCACATTGGACGCGTCTCGGACGAAGGGCGCTGAGCGGGTTTTTGGGCGGTATGCGGGGCAAAATTTTAGCGATCAAAGCGTCCGGTATGCGGATTGTCCGTTATGCAAGGCGTCCGTTATGCGGGGGTCCACTGTATTTTAATTACTATATCTTGTATCTGCCAAGCAATCATGACACCCAGTAGCCATACCGGTGTTGCTGAAAGTGGCACAAAGAGGTATAAGCACTTAAGGGAGGGACGAGCAGAAACGCCAACTTTTTTTTTTATCAGATTTCAATGGGATTGTGACAGTGGATTACACAGCTTAAAAAAACATATAGGCTGTGTTTGTTTTGACTGTTAGCCTTCAAGTTAGATAGAAAAAAAATATTTTTGTACAATTTTATGGCTCCTAGGGCTTTCCAGTTTCTACTAAATTGGGGAGATGTACAATGCTCTAGTTGTCATCAGATGAAAGGTAAAGGCTAGATTAATAATGACCCAGAGCAGTTTAGCGATGTCAGTAGATTCCATAAAAAAAATGTTGAAGTTAGCTATTTTGTTTTTATTGTTTTTTTGTGTACAAAAAAATAATTAAAAACAAAGCTGTAAACAGGATCACAAATCCACTGTGGTTGTTTGTAGAACCATCATTCCTCAATAACGTCTACAAAAATCATGAAAGTCCTATTAATATTTATCGAAGGAGATGGATTACAGTGTCAATAACTTATTTCTGATTTATTATTGATTTTGTTTGGTGTGAAACTACGGTTACCACCCGCCAAATCTGAGCGTGTTGCACCCCTCCTTACTTGTTGACAGCCTGATGGCTACTAAGGCAGACAAGCACCACGCTCCACACACTAGCCAGCAGAGAAGATGCCATGTAGATTATTTATTATAATCAAAAGGAAGCGCTAAGCCACAAGGACTATACAGCGATGCCATGTAGAGTATTTACAATGAAACAATCATAAAAATCATAATTTTTGGAGGAAAAAAAAAACATCAATTGCCAAAACGTATTTTTGCTGACAGCAGCAACAAAAAAAAAAAATACATTTAATGAAAAACATAATTAGAAATATGATAGAAACAAGCAGATTACTTCAAAACGTTGCCAGAATTTTGTACTATTTTTCAGTAAGAAAAAGTTTTTTCCATAATTTTTCAATTTTAATTTCCTGAAACTGGAAAAAGGCTCACCCCTCCCTTAAGTCTTAGAATTAACAAGGAAACAAAGATATTAGACAAGAAATAATCTGTAGCCGTAATGAAGTGCTACTTTGTACACAGAAAAAGAAGCAAACATGAGTTTGTGTGACTGACTTACTGAGTAACTTGGCTGACTTACTGAATGACTTGGCTGACTGAATGACTTTAAGTTAGACACTCTACTACAACCATCAACTTCAGTACCAGTACCTCTACCATCCACCTCAGCCCACTAGGGCCACAGCATAACTTCCACTCTCTTATCAATCGTCCATAAACACCAGCACCCACAATTTGAGGAAAGAAATACTATTATTTCCATTACATTTGTAGTCTTAAGCCGTAAAAACAACATAATATATCACAACAATGAACTACAGCTACATATTCACTTTTATTTTTGTAAAGACTCAGCAGACGATGCAACATCCCCCCAATGAAAAGCAGGGGTGTCATTAGCACGTTAAGAGACAATACAATAAGTGTCAGGGGCCTGAGACTGTTCAACTGCCTCTCGGCATACGTAAGGGGGATTACCAATAGACTCCTGGCTGTCTTCAAGCAGGCACTGGACAAGCACCTAAAGTCGGTACCTGACCAGCCGGGCTGTGGCTCGTACGTTGGATTGCGTGCAGCCAGCAGTAACAGCCTGGTTGATCAGGCTCTGATCCACCATGAGGCCTGGTCACAGACCGGGCCGTGGAGGCGTTGACCCCCTGAACTCTCTCCAGGTAAACTCCAAGTAATATCTGGAGGCCTAAAAAAAAGTTGTTTGGCTTTTTGGGGCTCCCAGGAATGTAGTCCTATTTTTCCCATAAGTTCTTCAGTTCATCTAACACGATTTTACCTAACACGGCATTTTCAGGAATGTAACTACCATGCTAAATGACAGTCTACTGTAATGCAGAGAATCTGTAGCTTGGGGATTAGAAGAAGGTGCAGGGTTTCTAAAAGTAGTATCCAGAGGGCTGAGGAGGGATTGTTGAGGTGGTTCAGATACTTAAAGAGGATGGAACAAAACAATTTGGAGGGCATATAAATCTGTAGTGGAAGGAAGGCAGGGTATTATTAAAATCATGGGGGAGCACTAAACCCATAGGATTATACAACGCATGGGGGATGGAAGGTATTCAGGCTCAATTCAGGGAAACTGAGCACAGATCCAATTCCCTAGATCAAGAGCCCCTCACCAGTATCAAGGAACCTCCCTTGAGGGGAGAAAGGCAGGGTAGGGGTCGTCCTAGGAAAGGTTGAACGGAGGGGGGATAAAGGAGGTTTTGTGTGTGAGGGGCTTGGACTTCCAGCAAACATGCGTGAGCGTGTTATTATTATTACTATTATCAAGGGGGAAGCACTAAACCCGTAGGATTATACAGCGCCTATGGGGGATGTGGAAGGTGTTCAGGCTTAATTCAGGGAACTGGAGCACAGATACAATTCCCTAGATCAAGAGCTCACCAATGTTAAGGAACCTTCCCTGAGGGGTCATGAGCATGTTAGATAGGAGCGAATGGAGGGGAATGATGGTGGTGTCTTGATGTGTTGCAAGCCGCAGTCAAGTCCTGAAGGTAGGAAGTACAGTACTTGCGCTCTGAAGGAGGGGTGCTGATATGTTGCACTTAAAATTTTAACTCTAGTGTAGGCATGCCTCTGGCAAGACAGTGGTGGAGTGGATGCTGATAATGAAAGTGTTTTAATAAAAAAAATAGAGATAATGTAACACATTTAATAAAATTAATTTTGTAATCAGGATAAGACAAAATTTGCTTTAGAATGCTATTACCCTGCAAGGCCCCCCTCCTCCTCCTCTTCCTCTTCCAAGCACTGAACTGTATAAAGCACCTGGCAGTACTATTCACTTAATGCTGATACAATGACTCAAATACACTATTAGCTTAATTAAAAACTATTGTTATTTATGTACTGTACTATTTTTTCCATATACAGCATATAAGTGTTGCCTAAACTTAGATAAAACATCAAATACAAGAGAATGCCTTTTCTTTTTCAGAAAACCTGACCTTAAAACAGTACTAGTATCCACAGGTTGGTTTCCATTTACTCAGTAATCTTTTGATTTTTCTATATTGTATATTTATGTTAGGCTAAAATTTGATAAAACATTAGACTGGGAGAGACTGTTAACAGAACATTAGTTACAGGTACACTGAGTGTACAATACAGTAAAACCTCAATTACATTAGGATTTCAGATTGATCTGATAACATCCAATGTCCAGACATCTAAAAACAACAAAGTACAGTGGACCCACGGATAACATAATTAATCCGATCCAGAGAGAGTGTCTTATACCGAATCTGACTTAATCCGAATTAATTTTCCCCATAAGAAATAATGGAAATCCAATTAATCTGTTCCAGACACCCAGAAGTATTAAACAAAATAATTTTTTTACATTAAATATACATTTCCCTCCCCAGAAAACAATGAGACATGCAGACTAAAACATTACTAAAATGACACCTTTATTGAAGACTTTTTGATAAGTGATGAGATCGGAGGAGGGGGAAAGGATGGAGGTGTACTATTGTTTGGATGGGGAATCCTCTTCCATAAAGACTTCCAGTACCAAGTGCTTTTCTGGGGTTACTTCCCTTCTTTGCTTTTAATGCCACTAGGACCAGCTTGAGTCACTGCACACCTGTGGCACTAAATATCTGTCCATAGAGCTCTGTTTCTGGCATCTCTTTAAGATTTCCCTAAAATGGGACACAACACTGTCATTGTAGATGTTGCCAGCACGACCTGCAACAACTGTGTCAGGGTGATGTTCATCCATAAATGTTTGCACATAAGAAAGCATGAACAATGCAGCAGGCTTGTTGGTCCATACTAGGCAGGTCCTTCACAAACCATCCCACTAAAAGAATTGCATTTGCCCAACACAATTTTCAATGCTTCCCAAGCAATAAGCTTTGATAATTCTATTCACTGATGCACAAGTCCCACTCAAATCAAATCATGTGTGTGGGGAAGTACCCTGGCTGGTATGTGGGGAAGTACCCTGGCTGGTATGTGGAGAAGTACCCTGGCTGGTGTGTGGGGAAGTACCCTGGCTGGTGTGTGGGGAAGTACCCTGGCTGGTGTACCACCATCACTACCACCACCACTTTCCTATGTTTCTACAAACTTTTTCTTGAATTCTATAGTGTTTCTCACCCTCTTTACCAAAGGGCTGGCACTATTATTGGTGGCTTATTTAGCAGTTTCAAGCACTAAAAAACAATGGAATAATACAAAATGTATCGCATGTACGTGTGGAATCGACCTCACTGGCTGGTAAACAATGTCACACTGGCTGTACATGGAGTGTCTGGGCCACTCACGGCGCACAGACACATTTGGGACGAATGACTTTAACTGAGTTCAATGTTGTTAACCGAGCCAATATTTTGATGCAAAAAACGTTACTTTATCTGATGACGTCTTAATCCGGGGGTTAACTGTACATTACTTCCAGAATTGTCTGTTATTGTTATGATCTGGGTGAACTGATTTTGGAAACAATAGACACAGTTTGTTGTTTCCTGAATTATTCATTATTGTTATGATCATGAGAAAACAATTGTTATGATCATGAGAAAACAATTTCCTATACAGTTGCACTGTAAAGGAAATTGCATTCACAGCACATACATTCTGAACTTATAAATTAATGGTATACCAGTATAAAACTTAGTACACATATAGTATATTTTTTAATTCCTAAATGTTTCTCTACTGTCCCCTTATGATCAACTTTTATGTAATACATGAAGCAAATGAAACTAAATAATGGTTGGCACTATTTGAACACTGTTCTCAATCTTGTGACCACACAGAGGACAAGATAAAAGTGGATCAGAAGAATAACTTGAGTAAATGCAGTAGTAACATGCCAAGTGACAACATCCAAAGTTATGAGGAAGAATTGGACGTCTGTTGCAAATAACACATCTTGTTTGAGGTGTAAAATCAATTTCTGGTTCATCTACTGTATTGCTGTTATTTTCACTTAAACTTGGCACCAATTTTCTTACAACATTATGGAAATATTGCACATTGATCAACGGTAAAATAAATGCCAGAAGTTCTGCAAAGCCATGCCACAACAACTCTCTTGTGAAATATGTGTAAGATATTTTACGCACATTACCCGGATTTGCCGATACGTGTCTAAGACCAAATAGTCTTTCAGGAACTGTTGGATAATATCCCCTTTGAAGGAACACCAGCAAATTGACAACCTGTAGAATTCTGAAAACAGTTTCAAATCCACTAACACAATGATTAGCAATGTCTTTGATATTATTATTCTTTGTAAAAGTATATGTTAAGAACCCAGTTCTATGTCTGATCCAACTGCCCAAAACTAAAGTCAATATATAGCTATGGAGTTTCTGTGGTGAAATTGTGTCTTCATATTTTATTTGCAGAAGCTGCTGGCCAACTGAGCTTCTTTCTTTATGGACAGTATTTCTCAATATTAAATACTGAAGAGCTGCATCAATTTCTGGCTCCAGTTTAGTAATAAAGCTTTGACCAATATATTTTACGGCACTCAGTAACTGATTTTTAATTAGGGAGTATACCTCATTATTGAGTAACATTGAATCTAGCTGAGAAATTCTTGGCATATATTCCTTGTTGGCTATGGCAGACATAGTGAGAGGATGCAGGCACTGATGGTTCACTTAGTGGGGGTACAACATTCTTAGTCTCTCAGTCACAATCACACTGCTGCTGTTCGTCATGCACCTTCTCCTTTAATATTTTTGAACTTAACATGAAGCCATGTCTGAAATTACAATTAACAAAAATTGGTTAAACTGCTGAGAAAATGGCAGAATAAAAGTTTATAAATATACATTATACACATGCTAGAACTAATATATACCGCTCTCGAGAAGAAAGAAGTCTCACTGGGAATTTTCATTGACTTATGTAAGGCTTTTGATACAGTCGACCATGAACTGCTGCACACTAAATTAACACACTATGGTATAAGAGGCCACTCCCTCAACTACCTAAAGTCATACCTTAGTAACAGTAGCCAATACGTGTACACAAATGGTGCAAACTCTTCCACACAACCAATCACAGTAGGAGTCCCAGAGGAAAGTGTCCTTGGACCACTCCTCTTTCTCGTCTACATCAATGACCTACTGAATGCATCACAGCTACTCAAACCCATATTATTTGCAGATGATACTACATACGTCTTCTCACACTCAAACCCAGTCATACTCGCCAACTCTGTCAATGCTGAATTGCAGAAAATATCTACCCGGATGATGACTAATAAACTTACCCTAAATACATGTACTGACAAAACCTATTTCATTCAGTTTGGAACCAGAGCTGCAAATGTTCCACTTAACATAACACTAAATGGATCACCCATCACAAGACTCAGAGGGAAAATTCCTAGGAATCCACCTAGACAGTAGCCTCAAATTCCAGACACACATATGTGCATACAACAAATTTCCAAGAAAATATCTAAGACAGTAGGCATACTATCAAAGATACGGTACTATGTTCCACAATCAGCTCTCCTTGCACTGTACCATTCACTCATCTACTCTTATCTCACATATGGAATTTGTGCATGGGGATCAACAACATCAAATCACCTAAGGCCTCTAACAACCCAGCAAAAGGCTGTAATCAGAATGATAAATTCCCACTCGCCACAGCATACTCCACCTCTATTCAAAAATCTAAATTTGCTCACCATAAAGAACATCCACACTTATTCATGTGTCTACTACATACATAGAACAATACATGCAAACATAAACCCTCCACTCAAACTTCTCCTCATCAACCTTAACAGGACACATGACAATAACACAAGACACAGATCTCTTATTGATGTACCTTGTGTTCATATCACACTGTGTAAAAACTCTATGCACATAATGGGCCCCAAAATCTGGAATTCATTACCAGAACATACTAAAGTAACTAGGCCTGAAAATCAATTTAAGGCTCTTCTAAAAAACCACTTACTTGCCCAGGACTAAATAATCAATATTCAATATTTACCAATAAATAAATATTTATCAATAAATCTCCCAATTACTTAAATCTTAAAACTTCAAGACAACATACAGTAAATTGATCATCTTGTTTGTAATACAATGTAATGCGACAAATCTGTACAACTATAATGCTTCAAAATCAAAATGTTCAAATTTCACTGTTTCAAATACTCAATTGTACTTCATATTGTATATTGTATATTATTTATGGTAATTTTTACCACTGAACCTTTCATTGCTTCGTTAATTTTAAGCCTGCCCATAATGCTCTGCATGAAAGGGGCTTTTGGCATGTACACCCAACTACTGTAAGTCCTTGTACAACTATGTATCTTGTCCAAATAAATATATGAATATGAATATAAGATAAACATGATACTGGTACAACATGATTTACTGGCAACAGAGTTTTAGGCACCTCTTTTGGTCCGGACAAAATTACAAGACTATGCTTTTGTCAAAATAGTTTACATGGTGTCAATTATAAAAAATAATACTGCCGCTGCGAAAGACGACTAAATACTATATGAGTGCAACACCAGGGCCTTAACTCTAAAATAAAAACAATATATTTTTATTCTCAAAGCCAACTTTTTCAGTTTACCTCTTGTGCCAAATAGTATGGCTCCTGTTTTTTCTAAGCACATCGATTGTTTATATATAAATATTTGTTTGTAAGTCTAGTTCGAGTAATACTACATTAGTTATATCCCTGAGACTAGGAAAGCACACTAATGGACGTGCTGCTTACATAACCCATGCCGGTAACATGTGGTTTCTGAGCAACTCTACATGTTATCAGCATGGGTTCTGAAACATAAAATAATGAAATTTCTCCTCAAGTGGCATATATTAAAAAATTACCCATGACAGTCACAAACGCAGAAAAAAATTCCCCGTGTTGTTGAGTTTGTAAGGGCCATTGACAGCTTACGTATTATCGAGCTTTTATTAAGTAAGTAAGTAAGTTTATTCAGGTATACACAAATACAGTTACATAAGTAAGTAAGTAAGTAAGTAAGTAAGTTTATTCAGGTATACACAAATACAGCTACATAGAATTATCATACATAGCAGCATATGTGTAGAGTGACTTATTTCCATTGGGGTCCTTTATTTATTTTATTTATTTTATGTCTGCAAATAGTACATTGAGATTTTGTATTTACAGTAGTGGGTTGCAATGCAGAGAGCCATAATAGCCTAGGCACTATGGGCCAACTTAACATTATTGGCTTACAGACTACTTAACACTAAGGATTGTATCATAGTTGTACATTAGGATTGTAATTATTTCATAGTTGTACAGTAGATTATTAATTATAAGTGAATCTAATTTGTATAAGACAAAATATATATTCAAAATTTTTTTTCGTGAAAACAATGATTCAATTACATTCATGTCAACAATGGATAAAAGGTTCAAGGTAATTGCTTTATGATGTATGGAGAAATGGTGGGCCGTGAAAGAAAAGGGAACAGGAGCCCATTTATAAATAAAAACAAATAAGTTTCCCAGTAGAGTAAGTGGGCTTTCCTCGCCAGGCCCCAGCAGAGTGGGACGCCCACACTCCCCTCACCTGAGTTCAGCAACCGGGTTTCCTCTAAAACCGTCAAAGACATATCTCTATTCAATCCTCCCCTATCCCCCCTTTCCCTTTCCTCCCTCTCCCAATCCCCTGCCTGTTTTTAGCCTTTGGGATTCTCTCCACAGGCACTCTAGTTCCTAGATAGGGGAAAGGGTATCGTGGTCTCTCCCATTCCATGATAGTTGTGTAGTTTGCCATGGAATCTGGATCACTTGGGGATGTCCCAATCCCACTTCAGTCTCCCAGGGAGTGGCCGAAAGAGGTATGATTTGTGGTGGGTATCTGGCCACCCTCTCTTTTGTTCACCGAGGTGGTTCAGTAGATGTGAGGTTGCTATCCTGGATTGCTGGTTTACCGGGATGAAAGGTAGGGTACGGCACGGGTTTCATGCCTCATCTGCACTTGAGGTGCTGGGGTTCTTTTGGGAGTGGAGGGGGATTTACGGCCCTTTCATTCCTCCTAGAGGCTATCCCTCCACATTCCTCCCTTTTTTATTTTTTATTTTCTTTTTTCTAAAAACAAAAAGAAAGAAGTGACATAATCATGGAGTCCCGAATCCTTGAAACAGCTCCTCCTGGGCCCCTTTCTGCTACTGCACCTTGTTCCGACTCTACTTCATTATTTGACCATTCTTCGGACCTTTCTAATGCCTCTGTACCTTCTGCTGGTGCCGTTTCATCACCCGCTCCAGGTACTGAGGTTCCACCCGACTCATTTGATACATCCGATCTCCCCACTTCTTCGACCATGCTCCCGGCGTCTCTCTGTACGGCGTGGCGATTTTTGGATCGCCTGCCCATCCCACATTGGACCAACTCCGGTCCCACACTTAAATGTCTAAAACCATTACTGATGATACTCCTTAATTTCCTCCTCACTCTGCCCAGAAAAGACTGGCTTGACACTCACTCCCTTAACACGCTATGTTTCAAAATACACAATGGACTAAGTTTTGTTTACTCTGCAGCCGACTTCTTCTCCTGACTATCTTTCCGATCATAGTATTAGCAAGGCGCTCCTACACCATGTTGGCCGAGAAATATCCTTCATGCTTTCAAGAGCGGTGCACGCATCATCACAGTACAGAATGCTAGCCAAGCTCCCAAGCTTTCTCTCCTTACAACCATAGATGCTGTTCCTGTAACTATTGAAAAACATCATTCTCTCATTTCTTGTAGTAGTAGTACTGTCATTCTACCTCATACCATTGTCCAACGTAATTTCCAGACATGTGGTGATGACATTCTGGAACTTCCTGAGCTCCAAGACCTCCCTATCCTCAAAATAGGCACTTATACCCTACTAGCCCACATGCGGAGACACTACCTTTGAAATTTAGCTTTCTTAGCTTTTGACTGCCGTGAGGTTCTGTCCTAGGTTTATATTGCGGGACACTGTTTACAAGTACAAAAGGTGATTCCTACACCGCAACAGTGTAGAAATTTCTGGCGTTTTGGTCATCCAGCAAAATACTGCAGGTCCATGGCCAATTATTTATTATATTATTATTATTATTATAATCAAAAAGAAGCGCTAAGCCACAAGGACTATACAGCATTATTTATTATAATCAAGGGGAAGTGCTAAACCCGTAGGATTATACAGTGCCTGGGGGGGGGGATGTGGAAGGCATTCAGGCTTAATTCGGGGAACTGGAGCACAGATCCAATTCCCTAAATCAAGAGCCCCTCACCAACATCAAGGAACCTTCCCTGAGGGGGGTCCATGGCCAAATGCCTAGTTTGTGGTGCCGACGACCATACCAATACATCTTGTAGTCTACCACCCTCTTGCCTTAATTATAATGAAGCTCACCCATCTTACTCTCGCCGTTGCCAAGTTTACTTAAATGAGCGAGAAATCAGCTGTCTCAAAGAGGCAGAAAACTTTCCTTATATCATGGCAGTCTTTCATCTATGCCTCCAGGGAAGACTTCTCCCGTATTTCTTTTTCTCGAATTACTAACGACCCCCACCTCTGGGGTCCCAACTTCCACAGCCTCCTCTGTGGTCCCCCTTTCCACAGTCACCCCTGTCTCTAATTCTTTTGCAGCCCTGGACTCAGAGGTCCCTATCTTGCCACCTCATTCTGTTCTCACTTCTTCATCTTCTCACTTACAAGTTTCTATGTCTACAAGACCTCGTACAACAACTCTTCCCCATCGCCCCTCTACTTCGAAGTCCAAAAAATCCCCAATGTTAAAATTTCCTTTAGCCCCTCCTTTCCTTATTCTACCTGCACATTTTCCTTATCCAGTCTCTGTACCTGGTTCTTCACCTCATACTGGCTCTGTTGCGAGTGTTGAGGTTCATCCTACTCCTTGTACAGTACCTTTCACCCCTGTCCCCTCCCAAGTTTCTTCCTCTTCTGTCCCCTCCCAGGTCGCTTCTTCTCTTGTCCCCTCCCAAGCTTCTCAAGTTCATTCTAACCTTTCGTTCACCCCTACTTTGGTAAATTTCATCATCACCCCGGTCTTTACACACCCTCCTCCTTCTATCTCCAGTATCGTCCCACATACAACGTCCTTGGCCTCTGAAACACTTGAAGCTATCTCCGATCCATTTCCTGCTCCTTCTCTTCACTCTTCTCTGTCTGCACAGCTCCTTTCTTCACAGTGTCCCAACCCTTCACTGCTTGTTCGTTTTCTGCTACCTCCACACGTGGACTTTTCTAAGCTTTCTAGTCCGTAGATACCTCTACCTTCAGATTTCTTGTATCCTTTTCTGGGCAAATCGTTGATTATTTACAGTGGAATATCCGAGGCCTCAGAGGTAACCGAGGTGAGCTTCAGGTGTTGCTCTCCCAGTTTCCCCCCGTTTGTGTTTGTTTACAAGAACTCAAATTATGCTCCGCTATTATTCAAATTCAAATTCAAAGTTTATTCTCTATAAGGATTACAATGCTGAGTTTACAGAAATTTGGTTATTGTTTGGTTTACATGTAGTAAAATTGTGATTACAGAGTGTACCACTAGAACGCTTAGCATGGCTAGGCATTTCGGGCATACTTAGTTTTATTCTTAATTGTAAAATATTACAAATTATGAGGTAAGTTGGTATTATGGCTAAGTGACTAAATACTAGTTTGTGAGTTTAGCAATGTGAATGCTTTTGTTTTGGCACAGTACATAGTTTCAGTATTGGAGTATCACAGGATTCATTATTATCCATCCCATCTCGGGCTATGTTATATTATATTCATTGAATCTTTTTCCCGATGGAGTCTTTAATGAAACTGCTCTTCTTATATGTACTGGTATACCATACAATCAGCTCTTTGTTCATACTTCACTGCATTACACTGCAACACGCATCTACTTGATTATTATTATAATCAAAAAGAAGCGCTAAGCCACAAGGACTATACAGCGCTGCCGCATCTACTTGAATATGTGATATTCAATCTGTTCTTTGTACTTCTCTCCTTCTCGGGCATTATCTATCCCAGATGTTGCATTTCTGATTTCTTCCTTACCGCCACCCCTTCTGTTACTCAGCGATTTTAATGCTCACCATTTCGTTTGGGGGGTCTCCCCATCCATGTTTTAAATACGGGTACTCCCACCCATTTTGACTCCTAATACTTTTTCTCTTGCACTGATCTCTCAGTTTGCTCTTCATCAACTGTATTAGACTTTACCTGGTCTGTCCTTCCGGACTTGCATGACAAAGATCATTTTCCAATTCTCCTTACTTCTCATTTGTATTCACCACCTCCTCGTGGCCCACGCTGGCAATTTGACTGAGCGAATTGGGACCTTTACTCGCATCAGACTGCCTGTAGTGAGGATTCTTCTTCGTCCTCCATTGATGAGCTGTTACACCTCTTCTCGACCTTAGTTTTAACCTCAGTTTCTATACCCAAAACCTCGGGCAGGCATTCTCAGAAGTGCGTGTCTTGGTGGTCTCTTGCTTCCTCTGTGTGCAGTCTAGAAAAAAGTAAGGAAACTGAGTGGCAAATACTCTCCCGACCCGGCTCCATTCTTCAGGTTGCTGGTGTCACTGTAGCAAACCCTCTTGCCGTTGCCACTGCAATTGGTAATCGTCTTGTCCGTATCTCTCAGGGGCTCCATCTATGCCCCTCGTTTCTTTCCTCCAAGTCTGCCAGAGAGTTTGAGCCCTTAGACTTTTCTTCTAGCAGGGAAAAGGTTTATAATGCGCTTTGTACACTTCTGGAATTAGAGTCAACACTCTCCGCTTGCCGATCATCGGCAGCCGGGCCTAACGGCATTCATATTCGTATGCTCCAGCATTTACATCATTCAGCCCT